GGGGGAGTCCCCATCCCTGGAGGGGTTTCCAAGCCCTGGAGATGGTGCTGAGGGACACGGGGCAGGGGTGGCCTGGGCAGGGCTGGGGGGACGGGTGGGCTGGAGGGTCTGAAAGGGCTTTTCCACCCAGAACAATTCTGAGGTTCTGTGACTTCACCCCGTGAAAGACACGGGGGGTGAGTCCACAGCCCCTCCCCACACGCCCCAAGGCTGGCACAGCAAAGAAGGAGCTGGAAAGGGCCTGTGGAGAAGCCCAGGCCTCACCTGAATGCCATGATGATGACTAGGGCGATGATGGTGCCCTGCAGGAAGCGCTGGCTGATGCAGGCCTGCTCCGGGACCGCCGACGGGGACTGCAAGTGCAAGACCCCCCAGATCAGCTCCAGAATCCTACCTGCTCTGGTCTTCCCACAGATCCCACCACAAGTTCTCCTGCTGCTCCCCTGCAAGCCCTGAACCCCCTCCGTGGAGAAACCACCAAAGCTCTTCCTTCGGCTTGGACAAAAGAGGAAGATGATGGAGATGGGGGTGGGCAGAGCCTCTGCAGCACGTGTCAGGGAACCCAGGAGGGCCATGGCTTTCTGAGACAGGTCACCTGCTCCCACACAACGTTGCTCCTCTGGGAGTGGTTCCTCACCTTGCTGGCTACTTTGTGGGGCCTCTTTTTGTGGGGCACACTTCCTGCCCGGCTGAACTGGCTTCCAGTTTGGCTGCAAGGAGAGAGCAGGAGCAGAGCTGAGTGTGAGGGGTACCCAGGAGCTGGGATGTGCTGGGAGGGGTGAAGGTCCTGCCTGGCACCAGAGCCACAAACCCTTGTCACTCCATCTCCTCCTTTTTTTGCCCAGGGGGTCTGGATTCTGCCCCCAAACCTGCATGAGCTGACCCAGGGTTGGGGTTTTTGGAAGCATGAGAACATCTTTGCCCTGAGAAAGATGGTCCCTTTTTCTAGGGAAACGTGGAGATAACTCAGTAGTGGGGTTTTTTGGCTGGTCTAGGAGCAGGTTGGAGCAAAGGAGGCTGAGGAGAGACCTGCTGGCTCTGCAGCTGCCTGAGAGGAGGTTGGAGCCAGGGGGGTCGGGCTCTGCTCCCCAGGAACAAGGGGTGGGACAAGAGGGAACGGCCTCAAGCTGCACCAGGGGAGGTTGAGGTTGGATATGAGGAGAAACTTCTTCACTGAAAGGGTCATTAAACACTGGGCCAGGCTGCCCAGGGAGGTGGTGGAACCCCCAGCCCTGGAGGGGTTTCAAAACCATGTAGATGTGGTGCTGAGGGCCATGGGTTGGGCTGTGGTTGGCTATGGACTGGGCAGGGTTGGGCTATGGTTGATAGCCTTGGGTTAATGGTTGGACTTGATGACCTTACAGGTCTTTTCCAACCATAAGGACTCCATGATCCTGCTGGGGAGTCACCAGACCTGTCCCACCAACCTCAGCTCCTTGAGCCCACCCCAGGCCAAATGCCACCACCCCTCCCCATCTCCCCCTTTCTCAAGCCCAGCACCTCCATACCTGAAGGCCCCAGAGCTCACGGTCGACTTCATGCTGTCCAACCTCTTCAGCTTGGCCAGCTTGTGGCTCCACCTCTCCAGCTCATCGATGCGGGTCTCCAGGTTGTCCGTCAGCTTGCACAGCTCCTTCACAGCCCCCACGTTCTCCATGAAGATGCGTTCCTGCCAGGGGGCAAGTCTGAGTGGCCTGGCCCATGGAAGCCCTCCTGCTCCCCTGGATCTGGCCACCCTGCCTGCTCTCCCACACCCACAAGGTGTTGGCTACACAACGCCCAGCTCTGCGGGCAGGGGATCACCCAACGTGGCACATCTAGGTGTCTACAGGTGCAAGAACATGAGGCACCTTCTTCAAACCCAAGCAGAACCCTGTCAGTTGGTGCAGGGTCCCTGCCACAGGTGACAAAGAGGTCAGCACCAGCCAAGGTGCTCTGGATGATCTTGACATAACCACCTTATCTTATCTAGAAAGGGGAGATAATGTCTTAAGAGCTCCCCTAGGGAGGCTGCCAACAAGGAGCCCTTCCTGAGGGAGGTGCTGCCAACTTCCACCAACACCAGGCAGGTTCCTCCCTGCTGGTGTCTGCTGTCCATCCAGGGCTGCTCCTGACATCTGAAACCTTAGAAGCCTTTCCCAGCCAGCAGAGTTTCCCTCTTCCATGTCCAGCCCCACAGCTCCCTTGAGCCTGGTCCAACAGCCCACCCTGCCTGCCACCAACCTTGTTCACCACCAGGAAGTTCTCAAGGGTCTTCCCGTTGGAAAAGACCAGGTCCCCAGTGTCCTTCACAGCTTCAGGGAGGATCTCCTTTACCTCCTGAGCAATGACACCTGCGTGGAGCCAGCACAGTGGGTCAGGAGAAAGACCAACCCTGCCCCAACCCCCTCCAGGTGCCGAGAAGCTGCAGGGCAGGGGAGCAGCCACCAGCAGAGGCAGGGCAGTGCCACCGGGAACAAAACACCACTGGAGGTTGCAGAAAGCAAGGCCCAGCACTGCAGGCAGGAGCAGGACACCGTGGTGGGCCCCATACCTGTCTCAGAGGTGGTGTCAATGCCCACCGTGGCCGCGAACTCCGGCTTGTAGTTGTAATGGACCAACCGCATCCGGGAGATCCTCTTCAGCTGCTCTGTGGTGTCCACCTGGGGCAACACAGACACGGGCAAGTCCTCAGCAGGGTCTTGCTCCCTGAGTTCTCATGACCCTGAGTCCAGGCAGCAAAACCTACTGTGGGACACGGTAGGACCTTTGTGAGGACCCTGCTCAGACCAACCATCGGGACAAGCAGCGTTTGCACTGGGGTTCATCTCTTGGCACTGGACAAGTTCTTTGGGCAGTGAAAGGCACGAGGAGGCCAAGTCCCACCACCAGGCAGAGGCAGCTCTCATAAACCTCATAGAATGGTTTGGGCTGGAAGGGACCTTAGAGATCATCTAGATCCAACTCCCATGCACATGATTGTCCCCAGCTTTTCTGGACAGGCCGGTCCAGCTGGGAGGACTTTGGAGCAGACCCTGGGTTTGTAACTCCTGCATGTGCCAGTTCTGGCTCAAGAGTGGACGAGGCAACGTTGCCCCAGGCAGGGTGGCCAGGCTGTGTTTGGGACAACCAGCCTTCTAAGGCACTTCCCACCTGCTCCTGAGGAGCTCAGGTGGCCCGCGAGGACGACGCCAAAACCCGCAGCTCACCAGGACACCCCCAACTTTCCCACAGCCAACCCCCCTTGGTCACCCCTCAACCTCTCCTGGCTCTTACCTCCTGGATGTCCTCCTTCACCCGGAGGTCTGAAGGGTGCATCAGGGAGCCCATCACCTTCACGTTGCCATGGACCACCAGGGCCTCGTCGGGCCGGTCGGTGTTGATGCCCACGCGGCCGTGGTGGAACACGGTGTCCGGGAGCTGCGCCCGCTGCCACAGCACCTCACTGTCACTCTCAAACTGCCCCGGGTTGGAGGCCTGTGGAGAAGACACCCAAGCTGAAAAAGGAGCAGGAGGGACAAATGGGGAAAGGGGGGGGGAAAAAAGTGCAGGGTTGGTGGGGATGAGGCTGCCCCGGGGGGTGAGGGGAGAGCTGGGGAGCCCCACGGAGATGTTGCTGCAGATGGACGAGGCAATGGGTGGACATCAGGGAGCTCCAGGGTGCTGTGGTGGCCCAGGCAGGGCCAGGCACCCTCCTGCAGCTGCCAGGTCAGGCTTGGCAAAAGCAGAGGCACCCGAGAGCCAACAGGGGTGTCCTCGTCCCACAGCAGGAAAACTGGGAAGATTTGGGAAGTTGGAACTGGGGTGTGGTCATCCAGGCACGCTGAGAAGTGGGAGGGGGATTTTGGGGAGACCAGGAGCCCCCGGGGTGGGTGCTCTCTCTCTCTCCAGCCCACAGAACCCTCAGTCCCAGCCCCAGGAGGAGCTGGAGGCTGAGCTGGGGCAGCCCCAGCAGGGCAGGGCCACGGGGGACAAGGGAGCCCATGGAGGGGTGAGTGTGGCAGCAGCACGAGCAGAGACCCCAGCTCCCCTCACAGCATCCATCTCCTGGCCCCCTCTGCAGGAATCAAGGCTACACCTGCCCTGCTCCTCTCCCTCAAGGAACATCCTTGCTTCCTGGAGCTTCTCTCAGCTACCAGAGCTGTTCCATCAATCCCAACCAGAACCACTAGGAGAGCAGAAGACCAAGAGATGTGGCTGTTGCTCCTGGGTCCCAAATCCTGGGGTTCATCGTGGACTTAATTCTGCAGACTCTGAGGTGCCTCTGTGTTTTACCCCCTGCCTTCACATCCTGGAGCTGAGTGCTCCACCAGAGCCCCAGGAGAGCCTGGGAATGGTGCTGATCCCTTCCTGCTCCTCTAGGTTGGAGAAACTGCTGCCTTTGCACATGATGCCCTGAGGAGGAACCCAGTCTTCCTGCTCCTGGAGGCTTTATCCCTGCTGCAGATTCCCAACAACATCCTTCCCTTGCTCCCAACAGCTCTACCCTGGACACAGGTGCCCAGCCTTGGGAGAAGAGGACACCTTCCCCATCCTGCAACAGCTTCTTGCACCCCCTGAGGCTGCTCTGAGCTGGTGGGGAAAGGCTGGAGCCAGAACCCAAGCATGGTAGGAAGAGTTTGGAGAAGGTGGGAAAAGGTTGGGTGAGGAAAGCATGAAAAAGCCAGAGGAAGGAAGGAAGGAAGGAAGTAAGGAAGGAAGGAAGGAAGATGGCCCAGGACAACCAGCAGAGGACCCTGGGGCAGGTGCAGAGGCTGAGGGAGGAGGAAAGGGACCCACCCTGACGATGATGCGCTCCGAGATGTGGGCAGCCAGAGTGTAGTTCTGGTTCTGGGCATGGGCCTGCAGGGCCACCACCAGCATGAAGTACCTGCCAGGAGGGGAGAGAGGTCAGGGGGATCATCCTGCCCTGCCCAGCCCTCTCCCCCTCCGTGGGCTGAGGCTCCAAGATGTCCTGGGGGGCTTGGCAAATCTCCTCTCCTTGTGCTGGGGAGCACGGGCGCCATCCCCGACCCCGCACAGAGCTGGGGAGACCCTCCCTGTGGCCTCCTTCCCTCCACACAGACAAGGGTGGTCAATCCAGGACCTGTCCCTCATGTCCCCCACCCTCCAGCCACACTCCCCAAACCCAGGGACTGGCACATCCCTGGGCCCTGAGTGCTCAGACCAGCTTGGAGAAGCCTCCTGTGCTCCTCACCTCTGGTCTGGGTTGGGTTTGCCCTTCTTCCTCATGTTGTTGGCCGTGGTCTCGCTGAAGTGCAGCCTCCCCACGGTGACCTTGGTGACCTGCTCTGGAGGCAGGTTGACCCTGAGGAGAGGAGAAGAGGGGATTGAGTGAGAAGAAGGCTGGAGAGGAGGTTTCTTGGGGAATGGCCACCTCCTGACCTGCCCCACCACGGCTGGACTAGGAACTGGGCGCAGAGCAGGGAATGTAAAGAGAGGAAAACTTTGCTGTGGGCAGCAGAGGACACCAGTGGGGACTGTGACACCCACAGCACCACCCTGAGCCCTCCAACTCCTCCTTTCCCCCCCAGCTCTCCTGCCCTTCTCCACGTGGACCTTCCCATGGCCACACTCACGTGACGGGGTTGAAGGGCCGTTTGCTGCGGTCGGACTGGGACTGCTCAATGTTGATGGACTGGTTCAAGGCCTCCAGCTGGAGAGACAGATGGGGGCGTGAGACAAAGGGGTGGAAAGCTGAGACCTTCCCTGTCCCACCTGCTTCTCCCCAGGCCACCTATCTGCCTAGTCCTCCTATGACCCAGGACAACTGGCTTGCAACACCCAACTCGAGCGCGGCCGTCTCTCCTGGCTGAGGGTGAAAGGATCTTCCCAGAGTGTCTATAGATCTCTGGAGGAAAAGATGAGTGAGAGGCAGCCCTGAAGACACCCAGACAGTGACTGAGTCCATCTTAGGACTCCTATTTCAAGATCTGCCCTGTTCTGGCCTCTCCTACAACTGGGAAGACGAAGCCAAGGTGCCGATCCCAGGTGTCCACTCTCCACCCCTTTGCTCCCGCTTGCCTTCACTCCGTGCAGCTTCAGGTAGAAGCACTCCAAGGGTTTCAGGCCCTCGGGGGTCTTCACATACTTGGGGTCTCCAAGCATTCCGATGTAGACCGTGACCTGGAAGTGGTTCTTCTTCTGGCACACGAAGGCGTCGTCGCCCACGGAGAAGTTGAAGCCCTTGTCGGCATCGACACGGTAGGTGAGCATGGGGCTGGGGAGAGGGCAGAAGTCAGAGCAGAGCCCCCACTTCGTGGCTGTAGGGGGTGAAGGAAGAGCCCCACACCCAGAAGAAATGAGGGCTCCAGGCAATAGGGTCCACGGCCACGTCCTGGGGTGGTGGGAAGGGCTGGGGGGGCACAGCGCAGCTCCACGTCCCACCAGCCATGAGCAGGGACTCCGCGGTGACCAGCCCCACCTCACCTCCCCACCTCTGCTCACACGGGGTCCTGAGGCACAGCAGGAGCACGGGAGGCCGTGGAGGGGTGTCTTGGGGGGCAAAAGAGGTGGTGGTGGGCACCTGCAGGCACTGCCCAGGCAGCAACCCAGCCTGCTGTGCAGAGAAGGTCCTCCACACCTCCCTGAGGCTGCCAGCTCTGCCTTAGGTGGGGCTTCAACTGGAAAGGAACATGGTTCCTGTGGCCAGGATCTGATGAGGGTGCTGAGACAACCACCTCCCTGCCTGCTGCACTGTAGGACTAGTACTATGAACCCCAGGCTGGTTTGGGTGGGATGAGACCTTATAGATCATCCAGTTCCAACCCCCCTGCATGGGCAGGGACCCCTCCCACCAGCCCAGGCTGCTCCAAGCCCCATCCAACCTGCCCTTCAACACTGCCAGGGATGGGGCAGCCACAGCTTCCCTGGGCAACCTGGGCCAGGCTCTCATCATCCTCACAGCAAAGAATTTCCTCCTCATGTCTCACCTCCATCTCCCCTCTCTCAGTTTTCATCCATCCCCCTCATCCCATCCCTCCCTGCCCTTGTCCCAAGCCCCTCCCCAGCTTTCCTGGAGCCCCTTCAGGCACTGGAAGCTGCCCTAAGGTCTCCCTGGAGCCTTCTCTTCTCCAGGCTGAGTCCTGGCTCAACACACACTGGAGAGCCCAGCTCCAGAGCCTGGAGCAGGGCCATGAATGCTGAGGAGGAGGAGGAGGAGAAGAAGGAGAAGGAGGAGGAGAAGAAGGAGGAGGAGAAGAAGGAGAAGGAGGAGGAGAAGAAGGAGAAGGAGGAGGAGAAGAAGGAGGAGGAGGAGGGGGGCCCTGGCTGCCTGATGAACACACACCAGCTGGGGAGCTTTAATCTACATCTCTTTAATGGGCTGGTTGCCATGGGAACGAGGGAAATATGTGGCCTTTGCAGCAAGTCCCCTTTTTCTCACCATCCCAAAGCCCCGAGCTGGGCTGGTGGGCCCCTGGCAGGCTGCCCCCCCGGGGCAGGGGGGGAAGGAGATGCCTCTCATCCCACCTCCTCAGCAAGGAGCTCCAGCAGAACATCAGAACCCTGGTGGTTTTGAGGCAAGAACCAGGGGTGAGGTGAGGGGAGGGGGGGGGGCTTGACATCAGGCTTGAAACTTCTGGAGCACTTTTCCCACAAAAGCAAACTGATTCCCACCCCCTGCCCACCACACAGCCAGACAGACACTGCCCAGAGGGGAAGGGGACAAACTGACAGGGAGGGAGGGAGGGAGCAGGCAGATCTCAGCAGGCTCTGGGAAGGAGGAGCTGGGGAAAAGTCACTCCTGCTGCTTCCCTGGGGTCCCTCTCATGAGCAGGAATCTTCTCTTGCTGGGGGGTTTCATCTGGATGGAACCTGTGGGGGTTTCCCATGGGGAAACCCTTCAGCAGCCCCCCAGGTTTGGCACCCCAGGTCCCTGAGCAGAAAGCAGAGGGTGGGAGCAGAGCCCAGAGGACTTCCCAGCCTCAGCCCTCACTTCTCCATCAGCCTTAGGCTGCCCCAAGCACCCCCCAAAGGCTCCCCAGGGGGGCTGGAGCCCTTCCCAACTGCTTGCCCCAAGCCCCCCTCTGCCTGCTGAGCTGCCTCCAGGACCCCCGAGCACCCACCAGTTGCCCCACTGGTTTTTGATGGAGAAAGCAGAGGATGAGTGATGGATTGGATCTCCAAACCACGGCTGCTTCCAGAACATGCTCTGGTTAAGGCCACTCAAAGTGGTGGGTGCCAAACCCACGTGCTGAGAGAGGGGAGACAGCCCAGCTCCCCTTCTTCTGCCTCCCAGGAATGGCTGGTTCCTCCAGAGCCCCCTTCTCAGGGGCTCCTTTTCCTGGGGTTTTCCCCCAAGCCAGATCCCTGCGCTGGGAATGGGAGACAAGGAGCTGCTCTCCAGGTACCAGGAGAGGCCACAGATCATCTGCCCCCAGCCCAGCCCCTCTGAGCAGCTCTCGGATCACTCCCCAGCAGGTTGGGCAATTCCCTGGATCTCCTCATCCAGTCCTTTTGTGCTCCCACCTTGTCAGTCCCAGCTGGGAGTGACCAACCCACATCCCCAGGCACCTTCAGGACAAGGGTGACACTTTATAAAGACTCATCCTCTCCTTCTTCCTTCTCCAAGGACACCCAGAAGTCGCCCCCCCCTGCCCTGCACCCAGCCCTGGGGCCAGAACATCCCTCCTGAGACGTGATCCCAGCAGCCCAGGTGGATCCCTACCAGCCATGCTCCCCTCCTACTGCTCCGTGGTGGGAGCAGGAAGGATCCTGAGGGAGAAAGGGATCCATGGGATCAAGGAACCTGCTGCCAGCACAGGGTGCCAGCTCAGATGTTCCTCACAGATGAATCCTGGGGCTGTGCTGTCCCAGGAGAGCTGAAGGAGGTGCAGGGTCAGTTGACACAGGCTCTCCTAGATCGACCTGACCCCGAGTCCACCACATGGGGGGGAAGAGTCCACCGAGGTAACAAAACCTTCCTCAATCAACCCTTGACCTTAACCCTTAATTCTGGGTAAATCCAGCACCACAACAAACTGCACGTGGGCTCCTCAAATCTCCATGAAGTCAGTGAGAAGGAATTTCTCCATTACACAACAGGCTGATGACCTCAATGCCACAGAAGGGGCTTTGCTCTGGCTTTCCCCTGCATGCCTGAAGGCAGGAATCAGGCAAGTGACCCCCAGTTCCCAGCTGGGCTCTGCAGGGCTCCAGCAGCTTCTCTTTTCAAGGTCTCAGCTGAAAATATGGTGGGACCTGCCTCTGTGGGTCTGTCTGTGGGATACAAAGCCCAGGAAGAGGGGCTGCAACACCCAGCTGAAAAGGGTTGTGACCTCTCTTTTGGGAGGAGAAACCACGTTCCCAGGGAAGGTTGGGATGTGGGATGGAAGGAGAAGGACTCATTTTATCCCAGGGAAAAGCAAAAAGGTCTTGCTGGAGCCTGCTGAGCTCCACAGGGGGCAGTTGTGCTCCTGCCACCCCGTGAGAGCCCTGTGGGCACTGGTGGTGGCAGAGAGGCCACTCCAGGGACTGCCAGGCTGTGTCCCAGCCTTGCTTGAGGTGGGGAAGGGGGAGTTTTGCTTCTCCTGGCACTTCCACATCTCAGGAGGCCTTTGGCACGGGACAGAGATGCTGGGGGGCAGAGCTGGAGGCAGAGCTGGCAGGGGAAGAGCCTGGGAGAAGCAGGAGGAGCAGCAAAAAGGTGGAGGTGGGTCTGGCAGGTGGGAGCTGGCAGGGGTGACACCTGCCTGGTGAGGCTCAGGCCCTGCTTGAAGACCAAGCCACGGAGGGGATGTGTCCACTGGGGACAGCACTGCCCAGCTGTGTGGGACAACTGGTGGTGGGGCACTGCAGGGCTCCCAGCTCCAGCAGATGCTCAGCTTCCCACCTCCCCCAGGAGAGCAAACCCATGGCAGGGAACAAGGCCAGGGCTGCAGGGCCAGACCTGGGAGCTGCTCAAGAAGCTGCAGCAGGAGGTGGGAGATGCCTCCTTTGTGCAAAGAGCTCAGGGAACCAGCAGTCACCACCTCCCAGGTGAACTCCCCCCTTGCTGGGGAACCAGCCACAGGCTTGGCAAAGGACAGGATGGCATCAAAGGTGGAACCAACCCCAAGAGCCACTTCTCCATGGGGGAGCAGCCCCTGGCACCACCAGGGCTGAGCTGCAGGTGGTTGCCAAGCCCAGGGCTGGGCTGAGCAGGGGTTGTGTGTGCAGGAGCCCACAGATCCTCCTCTGCCTCCACCACCAGCCTTGCCTGATGTCCTGGACCCTCCATCCAGGCAGAGGCATGAGAACAGCCCCAGAGAGCAGAGCACCCCCTCCTCACATCCCCCAGCAGCCCCACCAGCCACTGCAGAAGGAGATGGGAGGGCAAACAGGGATCTGTGTGTGGGAGGGGGTTTGTTTGCTCAACGAGCTGTTCCTGGAAGCCAACCTGCTGCCTGCCAGCTCCTCTCACCTCCCAGGAATGCAGGGAGGATCCAGGGCCCTTTCCTCCTGAAAACTCCTCCTTCCCTAACACAGCTCCCACCTCCACCCTCCTCTGCCCCAGCTTCTTCTTCTAGCTCCCATCCCAGCTCCTCTCTGCTCCCCACCTGCCTGGGCCACCCCAGCTCATCCCCTCCTCTCTCTGCCACCTCCCTGCCCTTCCTGCCTCCCCAACTTTCCTCAGCCCCTTCCCTCTTCCTCCCTTTCTCTCCTCAGCCCATCGACCACCCCCTCTCCTCCTTCTCAGGCTCCTTTCTGCTCTCCAGCTGTGCTGAAGTAGCTCTAGATGGCCTCCAGCCATCCCAGCTATGCCTTGTCCTGCAAATCCCAACACTCCTTGTCAAACCCAGGACCTTGCCAAGCCTGCCCAGGAGGGAAGAGAACTGCTGGTCCCAACCATGCCCAGGGCAAGGCTGGATTTGCCACCAAAACCCTCTAAAGGAGACCAAGAGGCTCCTGAACTGCCACCAAACCT